TTCAAAAGTTTACAAAATGCTTTTTTTTAGTAACAGCATTTGTACAGAACTTACTCCGAGATTAAATAGGCCACTCATGAGATTATTAAGCAATTTGACAATCTACGTTGGTTTGTGAGGGAAAAGAAACTGCACTTCATGGTTTTTGTACCAAATCCTTCCATTTTTAAAAGTTTAAGAGTTTGTTTCCTAATTTATGAGACAGTGGGCTTGGTATTGCTGCAGCCTTGGACCATAACACGAACATTTATTGAGTTATAAATGGCTAAAAGTAATCTAATTTGTTTTCTCCCTATACCTTTTTGTCAAGGGGATATGAGACCTTATTGAGCTCATCAATAAGCACTGTGCTGCCAGTGAATGCTTATATTTGTTACAATAGTTTAGATTTTCATGTTCATGTCAGTGTTTCTTCAAATGATGTATTTAAGAGGTCACTTTTGAGATGCCACTTTTGAGAAGCCATCCTAACAATTAGCAAGCACTAACAAAGACGGCATGAAACATTCCACCACTCGTACTCACAAAGGATTTAAAAGGCGCACATTAATTTTTTCCTTATTTTCAATGATCCAGGGAATTGATAAGGTTTGTGCAGAAAAGAGCAGGAAAGAACAGCTTCTTCTGAGAGATGGTCATATTGGTTCATACTTTTCAAAGGGTAACGATCCCATTACTTTCTCTGATTTAACAAGATACTTTTCCACGGGCATATATAAACAATAAAATTCAGAATCTTCATTTTTGGCAATCAAACTGCAACTAGCAGGAAACTAGTCACCTTGACCTTTAAGGGTACCCTCAAAGCTCCAAGATATAACTTCATTTTATTCTGCTATTAGAAGCACATACAAGTCTGAACTGATGAAATTCAGAAATCCATTTTGCACAGGAGTAAAGCTCTTTAAAATTTAGCTTCTTTGCAAGTTCTTAATGGTTAGGTTTAGTTTCACACTCTCTAGAGATTCTCCCGGAGACGGACCTGAAGTGAACTCATTAACAGCATGGAAAAGAATTTTGCTTTGTGGAATCTGTAAGTGGTCCAGGGACTACAGTGAGTCTTCCGTCTATGAGATCTATTCGGTGTATATTTTAGGTAAAACCTGTTTTAGCTTATCAGGCATGCTGACTTAAATTGTCAATTACCCGCACATTGAACGGAACAGAATTTTCAAAGTTAACTATGAACCTCAAAATGTACCAAAGTATTAATCTTACCACATTATCCTGTTCAAGTATCTCTCCAAATTATCCAGTTCAGGGAGGTATAGAAGGATTTCCTTGATTCCACTATTACCTCTCAAAATGTGACCACAGAACCTCTAACAATAGCTTCACATCCCATCCAACATTACCACCTTCAGTCTGAGCGATTCTTGTTTGACAATATGTGCAGACACGCTTCTGTACCAACACTGTTGATAGCTGAATCAACATCTCACCCTCCCTTTGGTTAGCCTCAGCACTGTACCTGTACAGTCAAACAGTTTAGATGAGACATCCAAGTTTGGTTGAATCAATCACAAATGAAAAATTGTGCAGATTGTACAAATACCAAATACCACCCTATCCTGCCACTCATATTTGTGAGCACTATGGACAGTAAATGATTGTTATAGGCCTGGTCAGTAGTTAATACAACATATTTTCTTAAAGGATAATTACAGGTCAGTGAGTTTATCATTTGTGGTTCAGGGAGCTTGGAGATTATTTACTTGCATGTATAGCTAAATAACCAGGAGAGCGAGCGAGAGAGAAAGAGAGAGAGAGAGCGCGAATAATGTGAAGCACAGGATTTTCAAAGGAAGATTTCAAAGACAAATCTCGTCACTACTTTGAAGTGACAGATATGGTGAGTGGGGAAGTGCAGTAAATGCAGTGAACAGTGAGATTTAGATAAGCCTTTGACAAGACAGCACAAGGAAACTACTGGATAATTTAAGATTTGTGGAATTAGAGCAAGACCAACAAATTTAAGCTTCTGAAATTTAATTTTGAATATTGGTGTTATTTGCAAGTCTGGTATTACTTACCTATTCCTGTTTGCCTTGAGCAGGTAGCTCTAGACCTACACGAGTAGAATCCCTGCAGTGTAGAAACAGGCCACTTGCCAAACAGCATCCCACCCAGACTCACCTCCCTATCCTATAACCCTGCATTTCCCATGGCTAGCTCACCTACCGATACACCAACACATTCCTGGATACAATGGACAATTTAGCATGGCCAATCCACCTAACTGACACATCTTTGGACAGGAGGAAAGGCCGAGGGACTTGAGGCGGTTTTCGTTAGAGAAGGTTAAGAGGTGACTTAATAGAGACGTATAAGATGATCGGAGGATTAGATAGGGTGGACAGTGAGAGCCTTTTTCCTCGGATGGTGATGGCTAGCACGAGGGGACGTAGCTTTAAATTGAGGGGTGATAGATATCGGACAGATGTCAGAGGTAGGTTCTTTACGCAGAGTAGTAAGGACGTGGAATGCCCTGCTGCAACAGTCGTAGACTCACCAACTTTAAGGGCATTTAAATGGTCATTGGATAAACATATGGATGATAATGGAATAGTGCAGGTTAGATGGGCTTCAGATTGGTTTCACAGGCCAGCGCAACATCGAGGGCCAAAGGGCCTGTACTGCTCTATGTTCTATGTGGGAGGAAACCAGAGCACCCAGCAGAAATTCAGGTAGACACAGGGAGAAAGTGCAAACTCCACACAGATAGTCACCCAAGGCTGGGATTGAACCCGGGTCCCTGGTGCTGTGAGGCTGCAGTGCTAACCACTGAGCCACTGTGCCACCCACATCTTGAAATGGAGTAGCTCTTTGAACAACCAAGTTGTACCAATCTTCATGTAACAACTTAAAGTCAAGTTGGTATCTTGGTGTGTGACCTCTAAAAATTATTTCATGGATCTTGGGTATCAATGACAAGGCCAGCATTTATTGTCTATCCTCAATTTGCCTTGAACTGGGGGCAGCCAAGAGTAAACCATTTTCCTGTGGGTCTAGAGTCATATGTAGGTCAGACCAGGTAATGTTGACCAATTTGCTTCACGAAATGGAATTAATGGATTCACACAAGTCAGACTTGGCGAAGACAGTAAGTTTCCTTTCCAAAAGGATATTAGAATATCTACTTTTTTTAGAATCACCACAACTTCAAAGGTCACTCTTACCGCTATTGTCTTTTACTTCCAGAATTTAAAAGAACAATGAAAATTCCCAACCTATCTTAGTGGGTTTTCAACACGTATTCTACGGATTCCTTAACATAAAGCATAGCAAAGTTTTATTAAATAAAAAGGGATGAAACAGTAAAAGCTAAACGGTACTTCTCAGAGTGGTTTAAAGTTGATCGTTCCGTCCAACAGGAATCTATCTGGGACCACTTCTTTCACCGACAATTTGAAGAGAAGTATGATGCTTAAACATGTAAAGATCAGAAATACAGTAACCCAAGACTCTAATCTTTGAGGCCCGAGGGACAGGATTTACATGTATTTGGAAAGGCAAAGACTGATTAGAGATAGTCAACATTGCTTTGTGCATGGGAAATCATGTCTTACTAAATTGAATTTTTTAAAGAAGTACAAAGAGAATTGTTGAGGGCCGAGCAGTGGACATGATCGAAATGCACTTGAGTAAGGCTTTCAACAAGGTTCCGCATGGTAGGCTGGTTAGCAAGATTAGATCATGTGGAATACAGGGAGAACTAGCAATTTGGATACAGAACTGGCTTGAAGGTAAGAGACAGAGGGTGATGGTGGAAGGTTGCTTTTCAGACTGGAGGCCTGTGACCAGCGGTGTGCCACAAGGATCAGTGCTGGGTCTGTTGCTTTTAGTCACTTATATAAATGATCTGAATGTGAACATAGGAGGGGTGGTTAGTAAGTTTGCGGATGACACCAAAATTGGAAGTGTGGTAGACAGCAAGGGTTACCTCAGAGTGCAACGGGACCTCGATCAGATGGGCTGAAGAGTGGCAGATGGAGTTTACTTCAGATAAATGTGAGGTGCTGTATTTTGGAAAAGCAAATCAGGGCAGGACTTATACACTTAATGGTAAGGTCCTGGGGAGTGTTGCTAAACAGAGATCTTGGAGCGTAGGTTCATAGTTCCTTGAAAGTGGAGTCGCAGGTAAATAGGATAGTGAAGGTGGCGTTTGGTATGCTTACCGTTATTGGTCAGTGCATTGAGTATAGGTGTTGGTAGGTTATGTTGCAGCTCTAAACGACATTGGTTAGGCCACTTTTGGAATGCTATGTGCAATTCCGTTCTCCCTGCTATAGGAAGGATGTTTGAAACTCGAAAGGGTTCAGAAGTGATTTACAAGGATATTGCCAGGGTTGGGGGGTTTGAGCTATAGGGAGAGGCTAAATAGACTGGAGCTATTTCCCTGGAGCATCAGAGGTTGAAGGGTGACCTTACAGAGGTTAATAAATTCATGAGGGGTATGGATAGGGTAAATAAATAAGGTCTTTTCCCCGGGGCGGAGTCGTCCAAAACTAGAGGGGTCATTGCTTTAAGATGAGAGGGGAAAGATTTAAAAGGGACCTAAGGGGCAACATGTCCACACTGAGGGTGGGATGTGTTTGGAATGGTCTGCCAGAGGAAGTGGTGGAAGCTGGTACAATTATAGCATTTAAAAGGCATCTGGAAGGGTATATGAATAGGAAGCGTTTAGAGGGATATATGCTGGCAAATGGGACTAGATTTATGTCGGATGTTGGCATGGATGAGTTGGACCGAAGTGCTGTACATCTCTATGACCACCCTCCAGTGGTATTGATAGCCCTTCTAACTGCAGTAGAGATAAACACACTCAACATGACTTGGGTAGGTGGAGGAAATGTAAATTTCATCAAACACAAAAAGATTCTTCAGTTTAAAGTCTAAAAAGCATTCTAAGACTGTAGAACTAAGGTGAAAATCCCGTAAACAAAAATTAATTCTGCAATCTATGAGAGAGAACGAGAGACAGACACAGTGCACAGAACTTCAATTTCAATGGCTTTATTTACTGTTATACTTAATGTTGCTGTCAGTACAATGCTCTATTGCTAGTCACTGCCACCCAGATGAATTCTTAGGCAATTTTCCTTTCTTTGCTCTGAACAATGTTCAGGACAGTTTGTCATATGACACCATCACAGAATAAAACAGTGGATGGATTGAGTCAGAGTTCATATTTGATTGCTCTGCAGTGACAACTACTCTGGTTGTTGCACCAGCATGGTTTCTTCATTCAGGCTTCCTCAGTATACCTTTGTTCCAAAGACAAAGTTCATCTACATTCAATTTACCTATAGCAGCAATTAATATCCAGTACAATTAACAACACATTCCTTCATATAAGTATGTGCACACACACACACACACACACACACACACACACACACACACACACACACACACACACACACACAAAAAGTAGTAAGTGTGAATTTCTGAAGAAAAATATTCACAGAAAACTGCAAACCACAAGAATGTCTCTTTCAAATGAGCAAAATAGTTTGTTTAATTTTGTAGGATTATTTCCTTCCCTCCAACTTTTCAAACGCATTTACCGATACCCTGATCATCGAGCTAATCTGAAATGCTGTTGTCATGTTTTCTCACTGTAAAGGTAATAAACTGTGCTGGTACTTGTAAAATTTTCTAAAACTCTGAAGTAGTATCCTCCCAAAGAACAAGGTTGAGAACTAATGACCTCTCGCTATTAAACCCAAATAACTGCCTCAGCTACTTTGCTACTAATCACAAATTCATTGCCCCCCTCATGCTCCAGTAAACTGGTGCCTCAGAAAAATAAAAATCAAACAGCTAAATAAAAGCTGTTCTATATGAAGAGGCATCAGTTGCATCTGGAAGCATACATGACATTTGGTTTCAGGGCCCTAAAATGAAGTAATGAAGTTTACTAATTTCTTCACTAAATGGGCTCCTTATGTATTCAGTGACACTTCAGCTTCTAGATTACACAAAATTATGCGGCAGGATTATTCAAAAAATACCCTTGTACCCTTAATTGCCTCAAAAGTACTCACTGGAGCTAAAGATTTAGAACCACTTGACAGTCAAGGATGTATTTACTCGATCTTTGTTCTAACAGAGCGCAGTTTACATAAACTAAACGTTTCTTTTTGGTAGTGGACATAGTTTTCCTTCACTTCAACTACCTTGTTTTAGCTTTCTGCCTTCACCTCACCAAGGCGTTTACTTCCTCACTGCAGAAATACACATCCAGTGCCTCAGCCCAGAAACCATTATTCTTGGAAGTTTTCAAACAAAATTCCAACAAGGTTAGAACAGAATAGAACCATATAGCACAAAAGAGGTCCTTCCGCCTGGATGTACATCAGAGCCAAGCTTGGTCTTCTCAATGTCCCCATAATCCTGTATAATGACGAAAGTCAAGCAAGTGTCTGACGCTTCCATTTTGTGCTGAAGCCAACCACAACATTCCTATGACAAACCTCAGCAGCCAACGCTTAAATTTCTATCACATCCTGACACAACACAACCAGCCAAACTTGAGAAGTTTGTGCTGCCTGTGGCCAACATTAATTTGTGAGCTTTCTACTCAAAAACAGGAAAAAAAAATAAGATGCTGCTAAAGTGATGTAAGAGATAATGTTTTCTCACAGCCAGTAGTTAGGGAAGGGGGAATGCACTGCCTGGAAACGTGGTGGAGGCATGTTCAGTTGAGGCATTCAGGAGGATGATTATCTGGATGGCAATAATGTGCAAGGATCTGGGAAAAAAATGCAGGAGATTGACACTAGGTAATGATGCTCATTTGAAGATCCAGAGCAGACATCATGGGTTGAATGGTCTCCTTTTACACCATAACATTTCCATGATTCAGTAAGAGGAAGCAAGCGTTGAAACATGGAGAAAAAAGGCAGATGAAGTATTTCAAATACTTGGTTATGAAAGTGATTATTATTGTTTATTGTTAGGTACCTATTAAAATAATGGCAATGGATATCTAATTTCTTCAATAGTAAGCCTTCAATAAACTCAATTGATTTTATTAACATACTGTCTGAATAGGATATCATTGATACAATATTAAATGCAAAGCAGTAAATATTAACAGAAGGAAAGCTTTGCTGTTATTCATTTACCTAACAAGAAACAAATTCATTACTTTATCACTTCAAGTTCAGCTCAGTTCCTTTATGTCTTTTTCCATTCCCTTGTACGCAATTGGGTAAGCCCTCAAGTAAAGTAACGGCTGCATTCCTGAATATCAGACCTTTACGTGAATCATGGGTTGTCTCATGGGAATCAATGTTAAAACTAGAGTGAGATTCCTTTCTCTTTTCTTTTGGACAACTGTGCAATGCAAGAGGTGAAACATTTTACTGTACATGTGCAAAACTGCATTCTGAGCTGAGTTAGCTTGCAAAATAAAACACATCACCAAAATGTAGAATTACCTGCTGCCCAGATTTTCTGATGGCCAAATAGCCATTTCTGCAACATAGACGGATCCTGCAGAATTGCCAATGTCAAAGTTTCTGAGGGAATTGTCTGAAAAGTTGAAGATTCTGATGGACAATTCCTTATGCCTGTTACCCCCAAAGTATCCATTAAAATTGCATAATTTGGAGATTTCCAGTTAAGTTTTCTAAAAAAAAGTCAGGAATAGGTAGATTATTAAAAGCCTAGATAAAAGCAACACACTGTGGATGCTGGAAATCTGAAATAAAAACAGAGGATGCTGGAGGAATTCTTAAGGTCTCCTCCTTCAAATCCTTTGCAACCCAGATCCTGACACAACACCTCCCGGTAACCACCCAACAGTCTGTCTCTGTCTCAAACTCAACCTCAACACCACTGCCAGACCCAGTACCTCCTATCCATCACAAAATATGCTCCGTCACTTACCTGGCCTTTTCCCCACCTTGTGCCCAGGCATCCTAGCACTTTATCCCTGTCTCACCAGCACCCTACCCTCACACTTTGCTCCTGTGAAAGGATAAGCACGTGAGCTGTCAGTAGCTGCTGGTGACGCTGGATGTTTAATTTACCGGACATGGCATCTGGCTGCTGTGAGAAAAGGGAATACAATTAGCCTTCCCTCAACTGTTCTGCACCTGTTAGTTTTGGGGTACGCTCTGCACTTTTGAAAGAGCTCGGATTGAAATCTCCTTTCAGAAGTGTGGAACTCTTAATATAAACAGAAGCCAAGTGGCAATCTCAGTGTAATTCTCACACAATCTGTGGCCCACAACATATGATTCTGTGAGATCAGTGTCAAGTGCACTGATGAACACTGGCCACTAGATTGAGCATAGCAAATCTGATGGCACTATCCAGGAAAGCAGTGTTTTTAAATGTTGTAGAAAGGGTGGCAACAGACTTTTGAAGAGGGGTGAGTGGTGTGGAGAGGGACTGGGGTGAAGGCAGAAGTGTTAGGAAACCGTTTATTTGAAGGGCAGACCACAGGAGGTTTGATAAACTACATTAAAATAAAACTGACAGCATCGAACGATATATTGACACCATTAGCAATATTAAGCGAGTCAATGTTTAGCAGAGACATACTGTATGCAACACACAACTAAATGCAATTTTATTTCCTCAGAAATTGCATTTTGCTTGACCTCAAAACTCGTTACACTCCCAAGTAATTCTCCCTGTAGAATAGCTGAAATGGAGAATTGTGTTTTTAGGTCATTTCAGTTTGATAGGCAGTCACTGCATTTATTTAGTGCAAAGCTTTACTAAAACTATTCTTGTGCTTCATTTTGGAAAGTATCAATTTGTTGTTACTACATGATATTATGATCATATCATACTTCTAAGTTTGCTAAACCTCTTCTTAATGCAAGATATCTAAACATGCGTACATAACAGGGCAATTATAGCGCCATATTACCCAACAGCTGTTAATTTAATTGCCGATGGAAATCAGAAGTTCTTCAATATTCTTATCCTTATTTCTGTATAGCCAATAAAATAAAAATGACGTATTCCAAGTTTGAGTAAACAATGATACAATTAAGAGACAGTTGCATTTAGTCAGGGGACCTTACTTCCAATTTTTGGGTTTGGGAAAGGCGTTGCATCTATGAACCAAAGTCCCTACACAGATGTCATACCCTTAGTATAATCCAAGCTGTTCAATGAAAACAAGACTTTCCACTCAGTGACGTGGTGTAATTCAGGCAAAGAGAGGTTTAGCAATTGGTGAGTCGGTAAGACTGATCAACAATTTAGATTGCTCAACCTGTCACACTCAGGCCTGGGAATACAAATGCATTGTAGCAGTTCACTCTTTGTTAACATTACAAATTGCATTAAAACAAAACACCTGGGAATTTATCAATAGACACTGGATAATTTGTACGAAACAAAACAAAACCAGTTTGTATAACATCACATGCTTGTTACATCACACTTTCAGGTAGAGTGATAAATCAATTTGGGAAAATGATACAGACATATTCCTCGGCTCCTCCATAGGAAGATTCTCCCAGAAAGCATCCTGGGCCAGCTCCCACCAGTCCTTCCAGAGAGCCAATTTCGCTTTGAGAAATCAAAGACATGATGTTTGTCACTTGAAAAATCCAAGTATCTGAAACAAAGAGCTCCAAATGGTTTTTAATAATCTGTCAAAGGCCTCTGACTGCATCGACTATAAAGCCCTTTTGAAGGTACTCAAGAGAATTGTACATCTAGCCAAGTTTGTTACTACAATGAAACTCCTGCATGACAGCATGAAAGTAACCATCCTTTGCAATGACTGGCGTCCAAACTGTTTTGAATCTGCTTGGCACAGAGCCAGGCTGGTCATGGATTTTACTCAGGTCCAACTTCAAGAAGGGGTCACAAGTTTCAACTTGATGGGAAGCTTTTCAAACTCAACAGGCTGGAGACTAAAAGGTGACCCTCAAGCACATCCAAGACTTGCAATGTGCTAACAAGTCTGTAGTTGTGGCCGACCTGCCAATGAAAGTCAGACAACCCTCAACTTCAACCACGCACACACGCACACACACTCACACCTCAGTTAATATCAGCAAGACTAAAACTTCTCTACCAGCCCTTCTCTGGGCAAGGGATTGTATTTAAAAATGAAAAGCATATGGAAACTTGATATTAGACATGGTCTCTCACAATTTGACAATGAGAAAAACTGGCTTGAATGAGTTTATATCCAGGCCACTTCACACAACAACAGCAGTGAGAAGGCTTGACTGCTGACTATCAAGCAGGCTCCCACTGAGTCTCTTTCCATTTCAAATAACTCAAGTTTGAACTCAAAATTTCCTGAAAATTGGTAATGTAAAATTATGTGCTTTTGCAATCAATATTCAATACAATAGATTTTCAGAACTGGAGAAATAAAAAGATGCTTGGGATGTCTCACTAAGAGATCTTGCCATCATTGCAGGTATTCATTGTTTCCTATATTTAGTAGCTTCACCAGACCCTCAAACCAGACAGCTGTCCTGTCAAACTGAGGTTAATTTTGACAAATTAAAATTTGTGTTGCTGTCAATCTAATGAACAATCCAAAAACTGACAATCTAGAAAATAATTTGTCATCTTACCAAATGTTAAAAACTATTATACTTCAATGCTTAACATCAGTAAGTCACAATATTGGTCATTTTAAGATTGTCATGGACCAATAATTGTAAAAAGAAAACTATTTGTAAAGAAAACAATTAATTAACCATGTAGCTAGTTGCTGTATAATTTGCATCAAAACAGGTTAATATTTTAAAAGGATAAACAGTTGAGGGCAGTAAGTGATGCCAGTGTTTGTATATTCTTGCCATTGTTTACTTTCCAATATATATCTTCTCTATTTCTAAGGGCAGCCCAAAATAAAATTACATTTCAGCTGAGGATATTGGACTTAAGTGCAAACAGATTGCTGTACCTACACTGAAATTTTCTTTTTAAACAGAATCCACAATTTTTAGCACACATACACAAACAAACACTCTGTCATGGTTAAAAAAATCATTTCGTCGTCTTAAATCTATTGCTTTCTCCTGTGAATGACTGACTATCAAAACATTCATACTTTTAATGAACATGTTAAAAACTGGTCTACTATATAAGAATTAGATATAAATTAGTTTTCCCTTGCTATCAGGATATATTTCAGTTATTGTTTCTAATTTCAGCTATAAGTGTGGTGCAGTTAATCATATTTTCTTGCAACCTTTTTATAGATATGTAAAGGTTTTGGAAGTGACAATCACATGCAAAAGTTTAGCATCACCCTTAAAAAATATATAAAAAGGACAAGAAAAGAAATGTCATTGCCTGCTGGTTTCTTCATTTTCTATTTGACTTCAGGAATGCACAGCAATTAGAATTTGTGATCTTAAAACAGAAAGGTCAGGTTATGTACAGCAGAGTCTTAGCAGGAGAACAGTGTTGCGTGGCATGGTGCTCTCTCCTTGTTCCAAAAAAAAAAATTCTTCTGATTTCTGCTAAGCCACGCCATCAGAGATCTAGAAGTTCGTAACAAACATACACCACTAACAGCAGAATTATAACTGTGCCACGATTTTCAATCAACCTGTTCCTCTGTTCCCATAAAAGATTTGTCAGTTGCAAGATCTATTCACTCGTGAGCGCAGAGCACATTTCACCAAGGTGCTGGAAAGGAACATGCTGTTCAATGTTGGTACAGCACAGTATGTTTCTGCCAGAGTGGCAGGTCAGCCAGTCCGGAATGTTGTACCAGTTTACATTTTGGTACTTAAAGATATAATCTTCTCTTGTTTTGAACGTCATTTCACAGAATTGCTCCTAATTTCCTGCCCATGCTGCTTTGGTTTCCTATTTCTTCACAGCTGCTATTTACTCAATGATTCTCAGTGTCTCGGCTACCAATTTGAATCTTCAAACGACAAGAATCCCAAAAAGTCCATTTATGGACATGTCATCTGGAAGTATCTGGGCAGAAAGGATTTGAAAAAAAAAAGACAAGTTTAATGTGCTGATGTTTGTTAAGAGTGTTAAGAGGTGAAAACAGCATGTCAGATTGTTTAAGCCTTTCAGCCTTCATGCAACTAACAATCTTGGCTAATTAGTAAAAGGTAGCAATGAGCCTTTTCATAATGGCATTTCCACCGTGTATCTTTATTTCCTGGCTATTCCATCTACTAATGAGTCAGCAAATGCAGCAATTTATTTTAAACTTAGCACATTAATATTCTATAGCAATTATATTACCTTCATGATTATACTGAGGCTACAGCAATAGTTATTTTCAGTTACTTGGCATACAATATTACAAAAACGGAGAATACTGTTGAAACTTTCCATACACATTTGTCAGGACAGATACAAGAACGCCAAATTTCAAAGGGTACAACAATCTACATGCACGAGACTGGTTGATAAGTCAACTCTGCTTGACCGAGATGTTATCACGTAGAACGCATTATGGAAAAAGACTTTCCTGAAGCTTTGCTTATATTCAAAAATACAAGTTGATTCAGATTGGTCAAGACATTGACATAGGAAACGTACCAGCGGACTGCTGTCTCCCAATGTTTTTGCTTAATTGTAAGAGATGAAATGCCCATTTCCTGAGGATAGGGCCCTTCTAATTGGAAAAAACTCAGTAATTCCTTGGTGCGTTCTGCATGACAAAGTCTCAACAAACTAGAGCCCATGCGTATAAACTGTTGTTCCCTTTGAAATTTAGTATTTTTGCATCTGCCCTGATGAGTGTACAACAAAAAAACTTCAGATTTCTTTTTTTCAGCCATACTGAGAAATTAATTTTCTTTGTAGACCTACTGCACCAGGTGAACATCAATCCAGGAACAGATAGAACAATGTTTTTAGTTTGCTTCAAAGATAGGCGACATCATCTTCAAATCAGTACCCAATAAATCTTCTCCTGTAAGGGGTGACTCAAGGCAATTAGACTGGATAACTTGGTTTGTATGTTATTCCTGTCACAAGCTTTACATCTGCTCCTGGCCTGGAATGAAACACCCCTCTCAACCTCAACTGATTTGGGATCTAAAATCTAAGAATATTTATTGCTTTTTAGATGTACGATTAAGCTGTTCCTGAAATCTCTTTGCAAATCCCATTGAATTCCTTCCTCCCTGTTTTTTTTTAAATTAATGTCTCAAAATAGTTAAAACTACAGCAATGGTAATTTAATCAATCTAGAAAGGATCATTATCTTATTGTTAAATATAGGTCATAAGCAGTAACAGCAAGAGCAACATTTGGTCCCTCTCTCTGAACGACCATTTAATGCTTAACCTGTTTAGATCAGCTTTACCTTCCCATGATATACCCACATTTCTTAATTCCCTTCAAAGTTCTTAAAATATATATCAATCTCTGATTTAAATATGTTCAACTACAGCTCTCCGAGTACTCCAAAGGTTCTCAAATTTGTGTGAAGGAGGTTCCTCTGGTCTCAGTCCTAAATCAGCTATAATCGCCCAATGACATAATTACTCGGAGCATTCACAGACCAGGGAGTGGCTATCTGAAAATGGTTAGCACTGCTACCTCATAGCGCCAGGGACCCAGATTCAATTCCAGCCCTGAGTGAGGTCTGTGTGGGGTTTACACATTCTCCCCGTGGGTTTCCTCCGGGTGCTCCAGTCTCCCTCCACAGTCCAAAGATGTGCAGGCTAGGTGGATTAGCCATGAGGAATCAAGGGTCACAGGGATAGAGTACGGGGGTGGCTCCAAGTGGGCTGCTCTTCAAAGAGTTGGTGTCAACTTGATTGGCTGAATGGCCTGCTTCTACACTGTCGGGATTCTGTGAAAGCTGGTCACTGCTATGAACATCAGTGTTTCAAAGTTTCACAGGACAGGAAGTATTTAGTTTAAGTAAATATCCCACACATTAACATAAAGTATACCGAAAAATGATGAAAGAGTGGTGTTAAATCAGGAAGAAAATGAAAGTGACCACCCCCACGTTCAATGAAATGCAGAGGTTCTTCCTTGAACACAAAGTCAAATTGTGTGTGTGTGTGTGCGCTGAATTTTCACTGGTCATACAGCAAATTTAGGGTTGGGCCCTACTGCATAAAAAAAGTGCATTGTCTTTAAATCAACATAGGGATTACCTGCCACTAAATCAAAGAACAATTTATCCACTTGTGACTAGCAGCCAGGATATAACCAATTATAAACCAAGCCCCACTACGGTATGACTGTTTGTCCACATTGTACAGATTGATCCATCAAAAGGTGCAGACATTTGGTCCACTCTGCTTGGCTCTGGTCTTTAAAACCCAGCTGTCCAGTTTGTTCTGCAAAATTTCCCCTTCAAATGTTTACCTAATTCCATTTAAAAGGTTAATACTGAGCCTGCTTCCACCACCCTTTCAGGCAGGGCATTCTAGATCATAGTAATGCGTTGCATTTTTAAAATACCGTCTCATCTCCCCCTTTGTCAATGACTTTAAATCACAGTGCTCCAATACATACGATAATCTGCAATAAAAATCAAACTGCCCAGACACATTTCACAGCTTATTGTCAACTAAGACAGTCAAGCAATTCCACCCAGGTGGAGGAACTGGGCTCCAAACACAACACACTAAAAATCTACTTGCCAACGGGTCTGGGTAAAACAGCTAAACAGTGCGGGGGGAGGAATTCTTTAATTGATTAAAAAAGAAAGAAAATATTGACTTTTACCTATGATACTAAACAAAGCAAAGAGATCAAACTTAATCGGAGTTACTGGGCAGGAAACACACAGGATCAACTGGAAACTCTGATGCGCACCCCATCCAAGATTAGACTAAAATGAGGGCACATCTAAAGCTAGTGTGTTCCAGTTGATTGTGTGGGTGACCACATGGAGAGCAAGTTCAAAGTTGCCATTAGTAACATTTTAAATGTTAATACACAAATTTTGAAATGGGAGGTTCGAGGGTAAGGGAACAGTAAGCAAACAAAGATTACAGCTTTTAAAATCACAAAATTAATGAAGCCTACCAGAACTCTTACCAGAGAGAAGGGCCTTGGATCGGGTGCTGCGGCCAACATTTTTATTTCCCTCCGGCGCTACAACTGCATTTTTGTGCGTCTTCTTGTGATGCTCCAGGTAGGTCTTTTTGGCAAATGCTTTTCCACACTTAGTGCACTTGTGCAGTGAAAAGTGTTTGGTGAACTTTACTTCAGTGCCAGGCTCCGTTGCATCAGTTTTCCTGCCAGTGACAGCAGGGCAGGGGACAGGGGAGGCAGAAGTGCTGTCGTGCTTCTTGGTGTGCTTGGCTTCGTCTCTCTGGGGGCCTCTCCTCGGCACTCTGTTCAACACAAATTCTATCGGTTTTTTCACTGCTCGGCTCTCGAGGTTGGCGGTGATTTTGCCCAGGTAGCGGGTTGACTTCTTGTGCACTACCGTTATGTGCCGTACGACATCCCTCTTGCGGCGTGTCTCATAGGTACAAAGCGGGCACTTGTAGAACTTGACATAGAAATTATTGCCGTCTGTGTGCAGCTCAATGTGCTTTGTCAGGTTCTGTTTGGAGGTGAACTGCCGCTTGCACAGCTTGCAGTAGAGCTGCTTGAAGTCAAAACCCATCGAGAGCTTGGGTTTCCTGGGCTTGGAGTGGCCAATTACAGCAGCCGGACTTGAAGCCTTTGGACTCTCGTTTTCTTGTTTCACTTTGTTTTTCAGCACTGGGGTGATTTTCTTCTCTCCCGTTTGGCTTGAGCCTTTGGGCTCGCCCTGAGGTGAGGGCCTATTGGTGGGCAGAGACCCCTCTATGTTGCCTGTGCAGTAGGCACTAGTTTCAGTCAACTCCACGCAGCACAGCATAGCCGTACTCTGCTCCGGGGGCTTGGACAGACTCTCTCCCAGATTCATTTTGTGCACAATCAGCATGTGGCGCTTCAACATAACTTGCGAGCTATACTTTCTCTTGCACAAAAGGCACTTGCATGCTGTCAGGTTGTACTCTGCTTTTGAGGAAGACTTGCGCTTGCGAGGCACAGGGACCACCAGATGCTCAGTTGATGTCTCTTCCAAGCTAAGTGGCTGCCCTGGTTTGGTGGCAATGTCAGGTGTAATGCAGTCCCTCCTTAGGCCTCTGTGCACCTCATCAAAGTGCCTACGTACATTTGCTTTTGTGGCAAAGAACTTGTGGCAGACGGGACAGTTCCTACCCACAGTGACCACTCCAATGCCCTTTGAGCGCTTTCTGGTGTTAGACAGGGAGGATTGGTGCCCCGCACTGTTCTTTGTTTCGATGTACTTTTTCAGTTCTTCCATCTTCTTTTTATGTACTTTTCTAATGTGTCGCCTGACACTACGTCGGGAATTAAAAGTTTTTGCACAGAGGCAGCAGACCAAGTGGGGAGCAAGACTGGAACCGTTGGAGATCTCTATCTCTGTAAGGAGAGGTTCCGGACTTTGTTCTAACCTTTGGGCTGATATTTCTTTCTTAATAAGCTCTGAAGGAACTGAATGGACAAGTTCCAATGTTTCCTCTGGTACAATCTCTGGCATCTTTTCAATATCTGACTCTTGCACTGGTAACGGGCTCGAAGTTTCAGGACTGTATGTCTCTACATTGAGGACTGAATCATCGAGTCTAGTTACATGCTGGTACACTGCATTATGATTTGTTTCTATGGGTTCCAGTTTGATGATGTATTCTTGCTTATCAACCCTGGGGTAAATTGCTTCCAAAAGTTCCCGTATAGTGTGACTCTGTTTATCGCTCGGATCTGTGAAATCTAAAAGTTGTAGAAATAGCTTACTTGGATGGGGTGCATAAAATAAATCTTAAAATAAAAATGATAAATTCTAAAAATTATTCCAATATAATTTATTATTTTAGTGGAACGGTGTAGATTATTCAAATAATGAAATTGCAGCTTTAACATTGTTGTAAAAATAATCTATGAAAAGTCAATGAGTCACAATTTCTATAGACTAATTATAACCTTAACACAACAGTTTCCACTGACTCAAAATAAAGAAATGTATGTATGTAAGATTGAGTAACAGTACTTAATCACATGATAATAAGGAAAGAACAGTTTATATTTGTATAGCATTTCTCATGGCCTCAAAATCTCCTAAAACATTTCACTTTTAAGGACACTGACTTTGGAAATATGCATCCAATTTGCACAGAACAAGGTTCTGAAGAAAGTAAATGAAATACGGAATAAATAACTTGTTCTCAGTGATGCTGGATGAAGGGTAAAGAATATCTAATACCAAAGAGAATTCTCTACTATTTTTGATTCATATACTGGGACCTTTAATGTCCACCTGAGGGGGAAGATAGGGCCACATCTGAAAGGAGTCACCCTCAATAGCGCAGGCCTCCACAGTACTGCACAAAAATATCAGGCCAGATTTTGTGCTCATCGCTGGAGTGAATTTCAATGAAGAAAATACTATTTGTGAAGAAACTGGATCTAATGATGTTCAATATATTGTCTAAGAATAGGAAGTATTTACATATTGATAGGAAATAACAGCTACAGTTCTTTAAGCCAAAATAACAATAGTGGTAGATAGCAACAACAAAACTTGACATGATATTAGCTAGTGCTAACACTGGGTCTTTGTGCATGTTGCAACCTACAGCCAGTAGGACTGCTTCACGATACTTTTAATAGATTCAACTCAAGTGTCGTTCAGTTCCAAGTGCTCTTCAATGTAAAGACATCTTTTTATTTTTGAACTATGAACTGAAAGGGAGGAAGAAAAAAAATAAATCAATGCTGCTTTTAAAAGAGGAGAATGTGCAAGTTGCTGTTTGCCATTTGAGAAAGCAAGTGAAGCTTAATTCCAGATCTTTCTTGAATTCAAATTCCACCATTTGCTGTGGGAGGATTTGAACCTGGATTCCCAGAACATTACCTGGGTTTCTGGATTAACAGTGCAGCAACATTACCACCACACCATTTTCATCACAGCAGGGAAGGCAAAGTGGAAGCGGAAAAGTGCAGTTTGTGAAGACTTATTTCGACATTATTGAGACTACGGAGATTTAGCTGAAAGAGGGATAGGACTGGCAGCTGAATGTCCCAGTATTTAGATGTTTCAGGTGTGACAAGAGGGGATGTAAAAGGGGTGGGGGAGTTACTCCTTTACCAGTAATGCATCTTACAGCTGTACTGAGGGAGGAAACATCAGAGGACTCGTGTAGTGCGGCAATATGGGAAGAACTCAGGAATAAAAAGGTGAGATCACAATGCTGGGGGTATACTGCAGGCCTCCCAACAGCCAGGGGAAGACAGAGGACAGAATATGTAGATAGATTTTGGAAAGATGTAAAAACAAAACAACCAGGGTTGCTGTGGCGGGTGATTTTAATTTCCCCTACATTGACTGGGACTCACTTCATCCTAAGGGCTTGGATGGGGCAGCATTTGTAAGGGCCATTCAGAACGGTTTCTTGACACAATACGTAAACAGTCCAACCAGGGAAGGGGTTATATGGGACCTGGTTTTGGGAAATGAGCCCGGCCACGTGAGTGAAGTTTCAGTGGGGGAGCAGTTGGGAGTACGTGACCATAATACCATGAGTTTTAAGATACTCATGGGCAGGGACAACATCAGTCCTCGGGTGAAGGTATTACATTGGGGCAAGGTGAACGACAACAATATTAATCAGGAACTGGAGTATTTTGATTGTGGATTTACCCTCAAACAGCCACCTCCAGACACGTGGGAGTATTTCAAACTGCAGTTGACATGAATTCAGCAGTGGCACATTCCTGCAAGAATGAAGAATAGGTATGGCAAGTTATGTGAACCTTTGATGACCAGGGATGTTGTGACCTTGGTCAAAAAGAAAAGGAAGCATACGTAAGGTCTAAGAGAATGGGAACTGACAAAGCTTTTTAAGTATATAAAGAAAGTAGGAAAGAATGTAAGGAATTAGAAGGGCTAAAAGGGTTCATGAAAAGTCATTAGCAAACAGAATTAAGGGAAATTCCAAGGCTTTTTATACATATATAAAAAGCAAGAGGGTAGCCAGGGAAAGAAAGGGTTGGCCCACTCAAGGACAAAGGAGGGAACCAGTGTGTGGAACCAGAAGAGGAAGGTGAAGTCCGAAACAAATACTGTGTGTTGGTGTTCACCAAGGAGAAGGAATTGGTGGAGGATGATCTCTGGGGAAGGGTGTCAAATTTCTAAGCCAAGTTGCTATTAAAGAGGAAGAGGTGTTGTGCGTCTTAAAAAGTATTAAGGTAGATAAGTCCCCGGGTCCTAATGGGATCTATTCCAGAATATTGAGGGAGGCAGGAGAACAAATTGCTGGAGCATTAACAGACATCTTTGCATCCTCTCTGGCCACAGGTGAGGTCCCAGAGGATTGGAGAATAGCTAACGTTGTCCCATTATTTAAGAAGGGTAGCAGGGATAATCCAGGAAATTACGGCCCTGTGAGCCTCATGTTGGTAATGGGGAAATTATTGGAAAAGATTCTCAGGGACAAGATCTATATGCATGTAGGAGCAAATGGACTTATTAGCAATAGAAAATACGGTTTTGTGCAGGGACGTCACGCCTCACTAACATGATCGAGTTTTTTGAGGAGGTATCGAAGATGATTGATGAGGGAAAAGTGGTTGATGTTGTCTACATGGACTTCAGTAAAGCCTTTGACAAGAACCTCATGGCAGACTGGTACAGAAGGTGAAATCACAGGGTGAGCTGGCAAGTTGGATACAGAACTGATTTCGTCATAGGAGATAAAAGGTAGAGGTGAAAGGATACTTTTTGGATTAGAGGATTGTGACTAGTGGTGTTCCACAAGTATCAGTGCTGGGATCTTTGCTGTTTGTGATCTAGATAAATGGTTTGGAGGAAAATGTGGCTGGTTTAATTGGTAAGTTTGCAGACAATACAAAAATTGGTGGAGTAGTGGATAGTGAGGAGGATTGTCAGAGGATACATCAGGAGACAGATCATTTGGAGGCACGGGCAGAAAAACGGCAGATGGAGTTTAATCCGGACAAACATGGGGCGATGCATTTTGGGAGGTCAAGTACAGGTAGAAATTAAGCACTGAATGGCAGAACCCTTAGGCGTATTGATATGCAGAAGAGGGATCTGGGTGTGCAGGTCCACAGATCACTGAAGGTGGCAGTGCAGGTAGATAAGGCAGTATAAAAAAAGGCTTATGGCACGCTTGCCTTCTTTGGAAGGTGCATTATGTAGAAGAATAGACAAGTTATGCTGTAGCTTTATGGAATTTTATTTAGGCCACACTTAGAATATTGCATACAGTTTTGGTCATCACACTACCAGAAGAATGTGGATGCTTTGGACAGCGTGCAGAAAAGGTTTATCAGGATGTTTCCTGGTATAGGTGGATTTTAGCTATGATGAAAGGTTAGACAGACTGGGTTTGTTTCCACTGGAACGCAGGAGGTTAAGGGGTGACCTGAAAGAAGTTTATAAGACTGTGGATGGATGGATGGATGCATGGATGCAGTAGAAAGTATGAGGCTTTTTCCCAGGGTGGTGTGGTCAGTTACAGGTTCAAGGTGTGGGGGCAGTTCAAAAGAGATGTGCAAGGTGAGTTTTTCACACAAAGAATGGTGAGTGCCGAGAATGAACTGCCAGAGGTGGTGGTGGAAGCAGACACAATAGCAGCCTTCAAGAAGCACCTGGATGAGTACATGAATAGGAAGGGAATAGAGGGATACAGATCCTGTAAGGGAAGACAGTTTTAGTATGGAAGGGCAAAATGTGTCGTTGCAGGTGGAGGACTGAAGGGCCTGTTCCTGTGCTGTTTTGTTCTTTGTTCTTTGACTTCCTGACCAGATTGAATAATCAATGCAGATTTCAAACCAAACAAAGTCGAGAAAGTCTAAAATCTCAGTTTTGGAAGAATTCAAGGAAATGCCCTCCTAGCTCACAAAATAGAAGTTACGTCAAGCCTACAGATGAATAGGGAAGGGAAATTTATCATTATTTTCCCTCCAGAAATGGTAAAGTTATGATATTCCCAACTAAATAGGCTTCTGTTTTGCAATGTGTTTTGAATCTTTCACACTCTGTTATAGTTAGATAGCTTGCTTTGTTTTATTTAGACCTCCTTTGCATAATAAACAGTTTTACTGTCAAAGTCAAATCTATAGCCTTATGTGCTTATGTTTTGAGAGAGTCCGTTATAGCACTTTCAGATCCTGAAGTAACTGATAAGGACCCAACTAACACGGGTCAAAATATATATTTCTCAAGTACCCAGGCCCCACAACACCCCCTCCCCATCTAAGTCATTAAATATAGATTGTAAATAGTTGATGCCCAGGCACTGATCCCTCTAGAATTCTACTAGTTACGGTTTTCTAACCTGAAAATGATTTATTTTCCTGAACCTGAAAAATCAACTGTCTCCTATTAGTTAGTACTTCTCTAACCATGCTAGTATATCACCACAAGCTCTTATCTTGTGCGGTAAGCTTTTATGTGACACTTAACTATGTGTTCGAATTTCTGAAAGGCAATCTACTGGCATTCCTTTTCCACCCTGCTTGTTATATCCTCAAAGAGTTCTACTAGATTTGTTAAACACAACGGTCTTTCACAAAAATGATGCTGATTCTGCCTAATGGCATTACGATTTTCTAAATGCCTTATTACTACCTCCTTCATACTGGATTGGACCATTTTTCAATGATGATAGATAAAAGATAAATTGACCTATAGCTTCCCTCCTTAGAGATTTTCCATTTGCTTTTTCTTCCAATTCATGGGGGCCTTTCCATAATCTAGGGAATTTTGCAAAATTACAATCAACGTATGCACCATG